GAAATAAGTGTTCATAGATATTTGAGAGATTTAAACTCTTCAGCAAATAAGGCTTATCCAAAGATGAACTAGATATTGATGCTTTATAAGGCTCATGAGTTTTTACCTCCGGATATTTTTGCTAATTGTGCTTTTAGGTTTACTCTTCCTTTACGGAAATGTTCAGAATTAAGTTTAAAGTCGTAGTGAACTTATCTTGACTGGGAGAATTTTCACTTTTTGGTTACCTATATTTAAATTACTTCTGTGGCTTAGTTATAGGTAGTTATTATAATGCCTCTATTATTTGATCAACTAAGATACTGTTTCTGCTGTAAAGTTATGGCTGGGTTAGAGGTTGTTAACAAGACTACTATTGCAATCATACTTTAATTTCTTTAAGTCCTTGTGCAGTGGTTTGAAAATGTAAAAAAAATTCTAATATTTATTAGATCTGGTTCTCTTAAATACAGTATTTGTCTTGTAACATGCATGCCTGACCATGAGCCTTTGTAAGGATTTTACTTTTTTTTTTTTTCACCTGTTAGCCTTGTAAAAAAAAATTTAACTGCCCCAGGGACAGCAACTGTTCTCCAATGGGTGAATAAACTAGTAGGCCCTACTCCTCCTTACATGGCATGTGACTAATTTTACTCAAGTGACTATACTTGCTGATAGTTAAGGAAACAATGTGTTGAGTAATGTTAATCATGTGTATAGGTGTTTACAGGATCAGGGCCAAGGTTTATTCTTATCGCAAGGGCAAAGAGGTAATTAGATGCTTCGTTTGCATCAGAGCTGGTACAATTCATCTCCATTTTGCGAAGAACGGCGTAGGTTTAATGACTGCTCTTTGGGGAAGACCGAGGGTCATGGTGTCAAGACTGCTGCTCTTGTGTGTAGCTGAATGTCCCGAGTGATGCACTGAATCCCCGAGAAGTTGCTTAGCACAGGCACAAGAGGAGGTGAGGATGTGAAGAGGACACAGAACTGGACAGGTAGATGTCACGTAGAACAAAGCGCAGCCTTCTAGCAATACTACATTCAAGCGAAACTGCCTCTCGGACCTCAGCTGGGCATGTTGGGATGGAACCAGGGGGTTTTAAAGCTAGTTTGGGAAAAGGTGGTTTTTGGTTTTCTCAGTAGCGGTGATCCCTAGCATGTCACCTGAGGTTTGATTTATCCTCACCAAAACCAGCTACTGACTTTGGTGTCATAACTATCCAACTAGATAATTCTCTAAGCACACTGTCCATTGACATATGCTGTAAATCTTATATTTTATTAATAAAAGTATGCATAGAATCCATTTTGTCAGGGTGCTTTTTATCCTCTTTCCTGTCCCTCTATTTTTCTTTATCTACGGCTACTTTTTTTTGCAATTCCTGATCTCTTCCCTACTGCTTGTTGAACAGAACCTCATTCTGTGTTGCCATTTCTGGGCCCAGTCCTGGCCAGCCTGCCAGGCAGGGGGGTGCTGGGGTCATTCTGCCCTCCACCAACACGCACGGTTACCAAAAAGCAGCTGCTCCCTTCTAGCCATCTTTTCCAGCACCCAGTGAAACCAGTGCAAATCCTCAATTCTCAGCCCTTGAATACCAGACTAAATACAGAAAAGGCGTTCTGTTCCCTCGTGTCTTGTCTTGAAGCCAGCAATGCGACCTAAATCCCAACCACTGCAAAACTACAACCACACTCTGAACCACAGTGACACTGTTGCTGACAATTAACGCTCAGTGTAAGTTGGTTATTGGACTGGTACAGTGCTGAGGTGTAGGGGAGTTCTGTGGCTGAAATCCCTTCACCGTTTTCCTGCTGAGCAGCATCTGCTGCCTTGAAAACATGTTGAATATGCAGCAACACCCTGACTGCCCTCACTGTTGAGGCAGGGCTGTAACTACTCCAGCATTTATTATTTAAATATATACTCTTTTATTCTCAGCCTAACTGACAAAAGCTGAGTTAGTGCTGATAAGCAAAAAGCTGTACTTTTTCCCCCCTCTTGGAGAGGGGCTGAATACTAGTATTTTTACTTTTTTAATGGTAGCTCTGGAATTGGTTGTTCTTAGGCACAACGTAGCTAGGAAGTGATTTCCTGTGCACTGGTCTTCAGCCCGTCATCTCGGGCTGTAGAGAACATACGCTTCTGACTGTAATCAAAAAGATACTTCCTTTTGTCCTTTCCCATGCAATCAGCTGTTATAAATGGAAGGATTGCTATACAGAATCCCAGTGGGGAGAGGTGTGCTGGAGGTGGGTTGCTGTGTAATGGCTATCGGTGTCTTGAGTGATTTTTATATGTTTGCCAAGAGCAAACATCTTATTTAGCCTGGTAAAGAAAAGTTTGGGCTTGTAAAAATGAGCAGTGGAAGAAAGTGATAGCAGTGGCTGGAATAAAACCTGTAAGCGTTTCTTCCTACTGTGACACAGCTGAGAAACGGCATAAATTCCATCTCTCTACACAACTTACCCTTGCATTTTAATAATCTCAACTTTTTGCAAAAAAAATCATCTATTTGTCTCTTACAAGAAAACAGCACTCCGTTTTTTCTGACGTGTTTTTTTTTCCTGTGTCGGTGCTCACCACTAGGAGGCAAAATGTCACCAACGAGAAGGTGGGTGCTTCAAAAACGCAAGGGATCGAGCTGAGATGTTGCAATTATCCCTCAAACTCATCTTTGGAACGGCCACTTATCTACAAGGACTGTATGTTTGATCAGTTGTTGCTAAATATAAAACACAAGTGTTTCCAATACACATCATCACTGCCTCCAGCATAAAGAAACAGACCGAGGTGTGTTGGGAAAAGACGGCTTTTGTGTTTGCCAGATGCTGGGGTGGTACCAGGTTGGCATTTTTTATCAGATTTGGGGTATAGATGTACTAGATGAAGAAAAGAAAAGTAAGTGCAGCATGTTTAAGACTCATTCTTTACTTAAACTGCTTCAAACTTTGAGAACAGCTTGGAACCATGAGAATGAGACTGGGATTTGGCTCAGCTCTTTGAGATAAACCAAGCTCGTTACTTTGATTTCAATCACCTTAAAGGCTTTCTATAATTTTATAGAAGAAAAACCTTTTTATTGCACTTCAGTACAAAAGGCTTTTCCCAGAAGCTTATGGCCTTTGTTTCTCTTCTATTAACATGCGGTTTTCTGTCCCTCCAACCTTGTTATTGTCATAGCCTTTTCCATCCAAGGATTCAAATTACTAACATTAATTACATCATTCAACTGCCTTAAGGAACCTGTGTAGTGGTTAGAGCACAGGGCTGTAAGTCAGGACTTGTGAATGCTATTTCTGGCTCTGCATTGACTCACTCTATAATCTTGATCAATTTATTTCTGACTCAGAAATTTTAATAGTCCCACTTTACTGATAAATATTCATGCCACAAGTGTTATGGCAAATGCTTCCTGAATGATGGAGATGACAAATACTCATGATGCTAGCCTGTGATCATTAGGGTTGCAAAGTAGGATAGGGCTACCTGGGCAGGTTTTCTATTCAAAATCTTAAGTAGCTCATTGTTCAGATCCCAATCTAGAATGTATCTGCGGCCCTCCTACCTGTAAACAGCTTTTTTTATTAAATTATTTAAAATACCGCATTCTTTTTACTACACTAATTCTGTTTCAGTGCTATCCCAGAGACACCCAGATTTTCTACAAGATTAGACACTGGATAGTCTCACAGGCTAGGTAGTCAATTTGGTAAGAAAGGTGAGTGTTATGAAAGGTGGATTTCAAATGTCCACACTTCAGTACTTGGACACTTGTCAACATAGTGCAGATGAAGAGGATGAAAAACGTTTGAAACAGGTATTCTAGTATGGGATGATGGTGCCAGTTGTACATACAGGCTTTGTCTCTAGCTTGAAATAGTTCTGACACAAGGAGGAAAAAAAAAAGAGTTATTTCTTTGTATGTGTAATAGGGAGATGACTTATGGAAATGTATCTGTGTGCCTTCAAGTCTCTGATGGTATTAATTACTGAAATCCTACTGTGGAAATATAAAAACCCCAATTTATATTCTTGTGGCTGCTGATGGGGGAGAGGTTTAGGATATAAAAGGCTCCTTTACCGCTGTTGGGAAGCAAAATGCTTATATGTATGTGTGTGAGATGGGACTTGAGTTACAAAGTTCTACTAGAAAGACCAGGCCTCAAAATAAACCTTGAAGTGTAAGCGATGTCAAATGGAATGAAGTTACTAAAGGTGATTTCTCAAGCTGTGAAGGCGAATTAAATAATCATCTGTGAGAAAGTTACTGGTTCTTTTTGTTAGTGAATGAGTGAAAAATGAGATTCGAAACAGAAGAAGCCTCGTAAACGCTCTGCTAACTGCCATACCAAGTATCTATGAAAAGCCGCTCTGCCTTCAGGAATAGATTCACTTGATTTTCAAGATAAAACCGACTCTTATCTTGAAATTAATAATTTAGAAGAACCCTATTTTCTATATATGATCATTTCATGAAAGTGACTTAGAATAGATAATTGGTACAGAAACTACTCATGTTATGACTGAAGAAACCTCAGCAGGGTAAGGTCGATGTTTGTGTCTGTATCTGTATTTGAAAGTCTCTCCCATGGAAATTCAGTGTTGCTCCCATTCTCAGTACAGCAGTACACGCATAAATGGCCTGAGGTTGTGTCTTCATTTTCATATTGAAAGGAAACTGTGGCGCACACTAATAATTTCACTTTTTATAGCTATACTTTTGCGTCCCAGTTAAGTCCTATTTTGTTACACAGATGCCATCTTCTCCATCTTAATTGTCTGCCAGTAATTAAAAAAACCTGCCATGTACAAGGTTGATTTGTCTGCTAAACACTATCATTTCAGATGGGTATTACTTGTAATCTTAAAAGCCATTAGTTCTTTCAGAGTGTCTTAACTACATTTCACAGACCTATTAGTTGGCTTAAAATTACCTAGGGCCAAAGCAAGACTGATGAGAGGGGAAAGAAGTGTTGGGAGCCTTGTACCATTGTGCCGTGCAGGTCTGACAGGTTACCTCATGCCCGTTGCGCTCAGGGAGGATTTGCTGCAATCCCTCACAAGGAAACACCTCTGTGCCGCAGGCCGGATGGGTACGGTGATACAGGTTGACAGCACAGAGCTGCAAAGGCTGATCCCATCCTCTCTGGAAGCAGAACAGAATAGGTAATGTCTGATGAGACACAAAGAGCCATGTTGGGGGAACTGGGTGCCCTCCAGGTGCCATCCATAGGGACCTAGACAGACTTGAGAGGTGGGCCCATGCCAACCTCATGAAGTTCAACCAGGCCAACCGCAAGGTCCTGCACCTGGGTCAGGGCAATCCCAAGCACAAATCCATGTTGGGTATAGAATGGATTGAGAGCAGCCCTGAGGAGGATTTGGGGGTGTTGGAGGATGAGAAGCTCAATACAGCCTGGCAACATATGGTGGCAGCCCAGAAAACCCCTCACACCCTGGGCTGCATCCCTGGCAGCATGGCCAGCAGGGTGAGGGGGGGATTCTGCCCCTCTGCTCCGCTCTGGGGAGACCAACCCCTCAGTGCTGCCTCCAGCTCTGGGGCCACCAACATCAGAAGGACATGGAGCTGCTGGAGCGGGGCCAGAGGAGGCCATGGAGATGCTGGGAGGGCTGGAGCCCCTCTGCTAGGAGGCGGGGCTGAGAGAGTTGTGGGGGTTCAGCCTGGAGAAGAGAAGGCTTTGGAGAGATCTTGGAGCCCCTTCCAGTCCCTCAAGGAGCTCCAGGAAAGCTGGGGAGGGACTCTTGGTAAGGGAGGGGAGCCATAGAACAAGGGGGAATTGCTTTAAACTGAAAAAGGTGAGATATAGAGTAGGTATTTTGAAGAAATTCTTTACCGTGGGGGCGGTGAGACCCTGGCCTAAGTTGTCCACAGAAGCTGTGGCTGCCTCATCCCTGGAGGGGTTCAAGAGCAGGTTGGAGGGGGTTTGGAGCAACCTGGGCTGGTGGGAGGTGTCCCTGCCCAGGGCAGGAGGCTGGAACTCGACGATTTTCAAAGTCTCTTCCAATCCCGATCATCCCGCGGTTCGACGTGCGGCTCCTGAGGCGCCTCCCGCCCCCTCCCCTCACAGCCCCGCGCACGCGCGTCGGCGGCGGCGGGACGTGCGCAGGCACGGGGAGCCCCATGGTGCGCGGCACGCGCGGCGGGGCGGGCGGCGCATGCGCAGCCGCCTGAGGGCGGGAGCGGCTCGGCCCCCGGCGCCTGCGCGCTGTGAGGAGAGGCGGGGGGGCCGGGCCCGGAGCGGAGTCCAGGTTTGTTGTTGTTGTCCCAACCCCAGCGGCTCTTCAGTCGCCGCTCCTCGCCTCGCCGCCGCCATGTCCAGCCCTCAGGAATCGCCGCAGCAGCACAACAACAACAACAACCCGCCGGCTGAGGGGACGCACACCGAGCCGGGCCTCAACAGTGAGTGCGGCCGCTGTGG